ATCTCTATTTCTCTCTCTCTCTCTCTCTTTATCTCTATTTCTCTCTCTCTCTCTCTCTCTCTCTCTCTCTCTCTCTCTCTATCTATCTATCTATCTATCTATCTATCTATCTCTATCTCTCTGTCTCTGCGTCTTTCTTCCACGGAAAACCGTCAGCCCTCAATGTCGAATCATGTTGTAAACGTTGTCTCCCTTACACGAGGTGTCACTAAACCATTATTCCTATTTTAGTCAGTAAAGTTCTTGTCAATTTTCTTGTTACAGTTTCTTTCATCTCGGTAGTTTAATCAATATTGCATTTGAAAACACTTTATCGGCGGAGCTGGTAATGCAGCCTACGTCTCCATTAACTCTTTGAGTACGCCCATTCTGATTATTCGAAAACAATTAAGGATGTGATGTTTTCGGGCACTTAAATACCTTCGTTACTCAAATACCTAAATTCCAATGTTATCTTTATCTGAAACTAAAAAGACAGACAGCAATATGCAATTGTGGAATATACACATTTGTGTTTATTATCTCTGTATGATCGTCCGAATGTACCGCAACATGGCCTTTAGTCTGTTAGCGGACATATTATGTGTCCGACACGGCGCTAAAGAGTTAATCCCGTTATGTTTGTCTCTACAAGGGGGGGGGGGGTATGAACTTGAGTCTGTAGTATAATACAAGATTGTAGTTAGCGGCTTTGCCGTCGGTCACAAGCAAAACACCTGAGTTCGATTCATGGGTGAAGAGAAATTGTATCGAGCATCTTTGTCTTTCTGCTGGGACGTTGTATTCCAGAGTCGAAGCCTGCCCCCTTATCGGTCTAAACGGTGTCGATGGGGTTTTAAATAGGTACATTCTAAAAAACGAAAAAGAAGAGATTTACGCCTCTTTTGAAGAAAAGGTGTTTTTTTAAAGAGGCGAGTCATCCTTTCCGTTATATTTTTTTATATTACCGTTCCAAGGGAGGAGGAAAAAATTATGATGGTAACTACTCAAACACCTACCCACAGAATGAATGACTGTTGAATCGAACCAGGGTCATCTGCAAAGCATTGCTTGATATCAAGTCAGTATCTAGGAGATTTCTCTTTCGGGGCTGGGAGTGTGGGGGTGGGGTGAGAGGGGGCGGTGCTGACGTTTGATAGTATTTGTTGCATTTGGTATTGTTGCGGTTGATGTTGTTTTTGTTTGTTTGTTTCTTTCTTCCTTTTCAGTTGTCTTTTTCAGTTGTATTCTTTTCTCTCTTTGTGGTGCACTTTCTTAATTTTTTTCCGTATTACTTTCACCTTTCAAATTCACCTACTCAACGTTTTCGTGTTTTGCCAGTGAACATTTTCATAAAGGCAAGTTTAATATTTAAAAAGAGCTAACCTGTAACCATACTGATTTTGTATCTCCTACGTCAATACTTTCAGCCCGGACCTCATTCTGTGAAATCTACAAGAGGTTTGATCTTGAGTCGGATGTCTCCAGAGACCTTTTTAGGGTTAGAAGCTTCCAAGGTATTGACTGTGTTACGTCGTTGCATTACTCCTTTGAATGTGGTGTGAAAGGTGTAAAATGTTCTTGTCTTGAGTGATGGTCTTGTTAATGTGGTGGTGGTGGTTGTTGCTGTTGTTGTTGTTGGAGGTGGAGGTGGTGATGTTATTGTTGTTGTTGTTGTTGTTGTTGTTGTTGTTGTTGTTCTTGTTCTTCTTGTTCTTGTTCTTGTTCTTGTTCTTGTTCTTCTTCTTCTTTTT